GCGGCCCGCGTTGAAAATCTAGCGGATTAAGGCAGCGCTGCGTTTGCTTTGGCAGCTGCGAAGGCGCACAGGTGCAAGGGGGAGGGGGCCGGCGCGGCCGCGGCTGGCGGTCATTGACAGAGCCTCGTAATGGGCGCCCAAATTCGTTTACTCGCGAATTGCGTAAGCGGCCCTCCCCGTACAGGTCAGCGCGAATTACGCGGGCTTGTTGCCTGCCGCCTCGGAGCTGGGCCCACCGCTACAGCCTCAGTTCCCACCACTCCCCGCCTTGCACTTGACGCTCCGGCAACGTTGAACTGTTTTCTCTCCTTGCTTTTGCTGACGCTGGCCCGCCTGCCTGGCTTGCCTTCTGCCTACCTTTGCCCGACTGATTCCACTAGCCCTTTAAGGCTCGGATCTGTTACCTTACCCAGCAGCTACCCCTCCCCACCAGTAGATGCTCTCTTCTGGGCTCCTTGGCTTCCTGTTTACACCTGTGTGACTGCGCTTGGTTTTACACATGGTTTTGTTTACCCTTCTTCAAGTTTCTTGAAGCTAGGGGCAATGGCAGACGTAGTGCCTTGCCCTCAAAGAGCTTTCCATCTCATTAGAGAAAGAAGGCTAGCCATAGAACCATGGACCTGCTACAGGAGAATCAAGGTAGCATACTTTCAGGAGCTGATTTGGATGATACACAGATGATACAAAGATGGTGAGAGCAGGATCTGGGTCCACTGGGGTCAAGGAACTGTGACAGCCTTGGTGATGTGCTGCCAGCTTTAATCAGGATTCCTGGCTGATTTGTGGAGTAAAAGTCTTTAGCCAAACAATATTGCTACATTTTCACAGATTAAAGGATGGGTGACTTCCAAAGGGTCATTGGTGCCCTTTCCTACGACACACACATTTCAATAGACCTGCTGTCTGGTTACGGAGGTGGAGGGTGGAGCGTGGGGGAGGCTGCTTAGAACGCAGCAGAACTTGGATATTTCATGCTACAGTCATGGTGGGTACATCTGTTACAAACTAAGTATCTTCTGAATTCAAATCCCATTTAGTTTCACTTTGACTTTGCTGATCTGTGGCCTGTGGCACACTGAATGTCAAAGAAGGAAGTAAACATCTTTGGCCAGATTTTGTTTTTAACTACTCAGAAGGGAAGTGATAGGATGAGTTGGAAGGAAAGTGCATAGAATTGAATGTCGGAAGCTATGGGTTCTGGATCTTAGACTCCTCATCTGTAAAGTGAGTGGGTTGGCCTGGGTGGTCTTTAAGGTTCCTTCTGGCTCTAACATTCTACACTTTTAGGATTTTAATTCCTGGTTGACATTTGGCTAAGCAGAAGACACCGGATGAGAGACCAGCTTATTAAAGAACATCTCTCTAGGGACGACTGGCGTGAGCACTGGCCTGGGAGTCTGAAGATTGTGCCTTTAGATTCTCTTCGTCACGAAAGCTGGTGACTTTCGGCAATCACCTAGCTTCTCGGGGACTCATTTTCCTTATGTGTGTGAATACTAAGAAGGGATTAGATGAGGTGATCTGTTGAAGACCCTTCTGGTTCTTAATTTCTAGTTGTCAGACTTAAGCACGGTTTAATGGCTAGGTAAAGAGCTCTGACCTTGGAGTCAATTTATGGCTTCCAGTCCAAGCTCTGCCACTCACTAGCTATGTATGACCTTTCCTCGGCTCCTCTGCACCTTGTTTCCTTCTCTGTTAAATAAGGATATCTACTCTGTTCACTTCAGAAGACTCTTGCAGAGGTTAAATGTGTGTGAGAGAACTCGCTAAACTTTAACGTGCTATATACATTTTAAGAGGTATTAGTTGCTGCTTCAGACGTTGATCAGCTGAGATAAATCTTCAAGGTGTCACTTGGGAGAAGCCTGGCCCTGAAATGAAGCAGGCAGCTAGCTGGAAGTTGACTTTGTGAGTTCTCCCGCTTGGGACTTCTGGAGGCAGAGGAGCCTTGGCACTTTGGGGGGTGGGCGGTGCATTTACAAAGCAGTCTGGGGAGTAAGCAAGGAACCAGGCAGGCCACAGCTCAGCAAGAAGGGAGGCCTGCAGTAAGGACAGAGCGGTATGGTGGATGTCACAGGCCGTGGTCCTCAAGGACCTGCCTTCGCCTCTCTTCTGGGGCGTCGGGTGGGCGAGAGAAGGAAAATGGCAAATTGTTAAAAAGTACACATGTGTAGAAAGTAGTAAAACTGTAAGGCTCTCTTATGTATTGTTGGATTCTTGGAAATTCATATTTTCTTCTATGTATTTTCCAAATTTTCTATAATGAATATGTATTTTTTTGAATCCGAAAAATAAAAATTTTAAAAATTGGAGGAGATCGTTTTTACAAATGTGGGTTCTTCTTTTTCTGCTGTTATTTCTCATTTGATTAAAGAAATAATAAAAGTTATTGAAATTAGGATATGTCTTGTCTTCCAAATCACTGATAGGTTTTTATGCTTTTCAACCAATATGTTTTTATAGTTTGAAGGGGATTGAATGTTGAAACCTTCTATTTAAATTCTTTGGACATATTTAAAAAACAGAGTTTTACCAGGTTTAAAAAAAATTTGAGTACAACAGAATACTAAAAACTTAGCATGCCCCCTAAATCTGTTTTATCACCTCTATTTCATGGAAAACAAAACAAAACACAAACCACAAACATTTCAAAAATAGTTTCTTACCATTGACCTGTAATTCCTACTTCCAGGAATTCATCCTAAGGTAGTAATTGGACAAGCTCATGAATATAGGGGAGTGTTCATCACAGAGTTTTTTATATGATAGAAAAAAAAAATGTGAGCCAACTTAAACATACAGAAATAGAGGATTAGCTTATAAGTCATGCAGTCATTAATGGGAACATAGATATATTTGACATGCAAATATATTCATTCCCCCCATTAAGTTAAACAGCCTAATAACAAAGCTGTCTATCAAAAATCCCATTTTCTGTTCAAAGAAAGAGGGTCTACATATACTCACATGAAATGTGTAAAAAGGTATCTGTTGGTGGTTGTTGACATTAGATAGTAGGATTATGGACTTTTCCTACCAGACTTACTTTCTCATTTTTCTATGACAAATATGTGTTACTTGTTAACTTTTTAAAGTTGAAAATAGTTTTGTGGAATGACTTGGCTAGATAGACTCAGGTTGTGTGACAAAACACTTACTAAATAACACAATAAATGTGTCATTTTCTATATGAAAAATTTTTCCTAGGTTTATTCTTAGTTGGAAATATAGTAGGAGACTTTTTTAATACACAAGATTGATTGTAATTACTTATTGTTATTAATTTTGTTATCAAGTAATTATTAAATATTTTATTAATTATTAGCATATGAACTAGCATGTGCCACTTGATTCTTTGACACCTCAGGTTCTTTTTCATTCAAATGGAGCTAATATTTCATTAATAAGTTTTTTGTTGGGGATTTAAGATACTATGGTAAACAGTGATCCTATAATTATATGTGTGAAAGCACTGTGGAATTCGTGGGCTACATAAATACTAACTCTTGTTAATTATTCACTAATCAACAATAATAGCAGTTGCTGGGTACTTAAAAGACTATTAGTACTTACTCAATAAATAAGATTAAGAGAAGGAGCTCACAAAAGACTAACAGATGGAAAACAATAATCAATACACTACTGTGGGTAAGTGAGCTCTGATGGGGAAGAGCATTTTATATGCTTTTGGTGTTCAAGACCAGGTTGGTCACTGAGGATGGTTAGGAAGATAGGAAAACTATGGAAGAGATCGTCTCTGCCACGTGGGAATGGTTATTGAGCTGGCCTTGACGAGGGGGAGGATATGGCTGAACAAAGAAAAAGGATTAGCGACATGAATTGGGAGAGCTGGGTGTTCTAGGCTAGTGAGGAGGATGGCTTGACTGAGTGGACGGTTCATATCTGTGAATGTGTTGGTTAGGTTAACACAGAGCCAGATCACCGGAAACATCAAAACCTGCACAAAGGAGTACCGAGTTGATAGAAGAAATAGGATTCCAGTCCCAAGACCCTTTCACTCTCAGCAGATGATCCAGAACTATCTGTTTCCACAGCTGCACTGAAAAACTCACCTGGATCTGCATCTATCCTTTCTTCTTACATCAATGAAAGCATCTGTGGACCATCTGTTTCCCTCTATGCTCTGCAGTGTGTGTGTGTGTGTGTGCGTGTGTGTGTGTGTGTGTGTGTGTGTGTGTGAAAATATCCCCCCTTTGGGGCCATTTTAACCATTTTTTAAGTGTGCAATTCAGTGGCATTAATTATATGATGTTGGGCAACCATCACCAGTATCTATTTCAAGAAACTCTACCCATTAAGCAATAACCCCCCATCCCTGCTTCTCCTTAGCCCCTGGTAACCTCTGATCTGTTTTCTGTCATTATGTATTTTACTACTCTAGATACCTCATGTAAGTGGAATCATAACAATATTTGTCTTTTTGTGTCTGGTTTATTTCATTTGGCTTAATGTTTTCAAGGTTCTTCTAGGTGGTAGCCTATATCAGAACCTCATTA